CATAGGTTCCCAAAGTGGTCCAGGTGGACCCCCAGGGGTCCATAGGAGACCACACGGGGGTCCACGTAGACATGAAAAGAAAACAGGGGTTCACAAGTTGTAAGTGGGGGTCCACGAAAAATTTTCTGGTTTTCATAATAAAGAACAAAAATTTTGACTTGGATTTACCTATCTATGTAGGCAGGTAGCATCATTCACTAGGTAGGTACTCAAAAATATTCGAGACTCAGTTCAAACACAGAATTGAATAGAACAATAGATAATAGTACAAGTGTACACCACATGTCGAGACTTGCAAAGTGCCGCCCGTTTGCCCGCTCGCATTTAAATACCCTGCATGATGATTTCAAAAATAGATTTGAAGATATTCTGTCGATGGAAATTCCACCATGGATCATAACCCCATTTGATGAAGAGGCGAATGTGGTTTTACTTGAGCTCAGCACTAACGAGGAACTGAAGGTGAAATTTATAAATGGCTATCAAACATTTTGGCTGCAGGCAGAAATCCCCGAAAAATATCCTGGGCTGTGGGAAATTGCGAGAAAATTTTTGATAGCGTTTCCCTCGTCATATCTTTCGAAAGAAGTTTTAATGCCGTTACCAACCTGTTAACAAAAAAAAGGAGTAGATTGGACATCACAGAACGGGGAGATTTGAGATTACTTCTTACAAAACTGAAGCCAAATATTGATAATTTGATGTCAATTCATCAAGTACATCCGTCTCATTAAAAGTATGACTATTTTTTATTGTTGATTTACATTTCAGAGTTGATTGTTGATTGTTTGTAATAATAAATGTTTATAATTTTGTATAACCACAAGTATTATTTTAATAAATAGGACACAAGAAAATGTGCTACTTTCTTTTTTCTTCTTAACACCCCCAATTTAGGGTGATTAGTTTTGGGAATACAGTAGATGTAGCAGCAGGGGGTCTACCGAAAGTAGTAAAACTTTGAAAGTGGTCCACGAGAAAAAAAAGTTTGGGAACCTCTGGTCTAAGACCATCAAGCTTCAGATCGTTGGTCATCCACTTGCTATGGCAGTAAAGGCGTTCGATGCTCAGTGCTAACTAGAATTCCACTATCAGATTGAGACCTAACCTCCAGAATCACAACGGGCTATTGCGGGGAAACGCTATTTACTCTTTGAAGAGAAGAATCACATAAAAATGCAGGCAAGGCTCATGTGTTTTTAATTCTGAAGAATCATATGTAAAAAATGCAAGTATTCGCTCCTGCATTTTTAATTCTAAGGAAGTCGACTATCGACTAAATCCTTGCAAACAAAGCTAAACATAGTTCATACGCACCTAGAAAAAAATTTAAAAATTACAGTAATTCCATTATGATAAATTACATTTAATTGCGCCTGTATCTATCAAAATATTTCATCACCTCTTAGTAGATGTGTCAAAATCCAAAAAAGAATAATATTAATTGTTTTATTCTAAAATGAAAACTTAGGGTAAGAAAGCTGCTTTCATACAAATTTGATATCCTTTTTCAAATCTTTTCAGGTCGTATGCCATTAGAAAAGGACTCAATATATTGTTATAACACAGGGGTCTGTCCAGACATTTTGTGAAAGGTCCGTTTTTCGTGAAATTGTGAAAAAATTACTCACATTCTTTCAACCAAGGTCCGCTTTTATGAATTCATGCAAATAGGGTCCGGTTATTGCAAAACACTTTTTCAAGGAGTTTTTAAATTGTAAATAGGTACAAGATTATACTCGGCACTGTAAGATTATAATAAAAAAAATTAAATTTTCAAAAATAAACAGCAATTGCTGCTTCCAAATTAGAGATGCAACATACAAATATTTGGTATTTAGCCTATACTGCTGAAATCCGAATATTAATTTCGGACGAATTATGGAAGAATCGTCTGCCGAAGACAAAACTTAATTCGTTTACATCCATCTTTCTTGTTTCCTGCCATGGGAAGGGTTTATTCGTTTAACAAAACAACAATGAAGATAAAAAAATTTGTGAAGGGTCCGATTAAAAGATAAATTATTTTGTGAAGGGTCCGTTTTTAAGTTAAAATATTTTGTGAAGGGTCCGTTTTTATGAAAAGATATTTTGTGAAGGGTCCGTTAACGGACCCAAATTTCTTCTAAACAGACCCCTGTAACATTTACAAGTATTAAAATGAATACATTTAGTTCAAATGCTATTTAAAAAGTATTCTGCTCTTTGGCTCTGAATGACCTCCAAAATTACGCAGGAAGCAATTTCAATACAAAAGCATTAAAAATGGAGATTTTTCTTTAAATTCACAAAGCATAATTAATGTATGAAATATCGAGTGAATGGCCACATTGGTTGTGCTCTTTTTGATGAAATGACCATTTTGCATAAATTTTGATGATTTTTGCTGATACAGCGATCAATTTCAACCTCTAAGATGGGATTGTAGGTGATTTATTGATATCAATCTTATAACTGCGAAAATATTCCACAAGAAATTATGTTCCTACAGTGTAAAATCCCATGATCTGAGCTGCCAATTCTGATCACGAAAACAAAAAATATACGACCAGAAAATGACTCCAAAAGCTTTTAAAAATTATCGTTCGGGAAAACACCTTGTCCTCTCATGTCAATCAATATTCTTGGTTTTTCAGGTATTCTACTGTCTTATTCTTTTTGTTAGCACAAATAAAACAAAACTTAAATCTTGCATGGGACACCCATCACAACCAATGTACAGCGAATGCAACAATAGCACATTAAACAAAAGATAAATTAATTTTTTTAATTAAGAACTTCTTACTTTGGTTTCCACAAACACAGCTTGGACATGGTCTAGAATTGTAATCAATTTGACATCCTGCATTACATTTAGGAGGAGAACACTGAATCATTGGACCGTCTGAAACAACATCAAAATTAATTATAAAAAGAGTAGAAATTATTACGTTTTACTTAATATTAAAAAAATATATATAATAATTTAATTTGATTAAATAGATAATAAAATTAAATTCCACAACTCTTGTAGTATTGGGTTAAATAAATTATACAGCAGAAATAATTAAAAGGATTTATTGCATGTGTCAAACAGATATTTACTGAAGTATGATCTCAAAATAAAAAAGATTTCAAAATGTTTAGTTGCACCGTTCGAAAAAAAAATAATATTAATAAACAGACCAGACTGAATAGCTTTCTGTCTAATGATAGGATTTTCACGTTCTAGGACTCAATCTTAATGGTTCAAGAGGGTAACCTTAAACATGCTAATTAATTAGTGTAGACGATATTTTAAGTTACGAAATCAGATACAAAAACGTATTTTCTCCGAATAAAGCTAACTTTTTTTCCACCGAATCGGATCAAAAGTTATTCAGGTTGTTCATTTTATGCATATTACGCCACACGCATTTACTTATATTTATTAAATTTCCCACAGTTATTTTTTTGTATGGAGAAACCTTAGGAATTACCTTTAGTTAAGTTAAAATTGTAAAATTTTTTGTAGATGAAAATTATTAATAAATAGCTACATAATCTTGTAAATTTACACCTGCAAATTTAATTTCTTACAAAGAATTGCGCAACGATTCTCCGACACAACGTTAAATAACTAGTCTTAGCGTAGTCTTCCTAAACTTGCACTTTTTTTTACCACAACCAGTATTGAGTAATGATGAGATAATAATGAAATAATGATGATGGTTGTCCTTATTTGCTCTAAACGCTGAAATGAACTCATCGAGATTTCTAATTATTAAGGGAGACCCACCAATGACACCCATATATTTGAAGTTTGTAATGCATATTCTTATTAGACAAAAAACTTAGATGCTCTGTTAGAATTTTCATTGTAAAATTATGGTAAAATAACCGTCAGCAGTTCGTCTACACAGTTAACAGAGATACCAACTGCTCCGGATGCGCCATAATACTTTAAAAAACGGTAAACAACTACATACTAAAATTTCCAAATATTTTACTAATTTTGTTTACTTTTTAGACGGTGTAGCGTGACTCTAATGAAAGAAAATGGTGAGTTATATATGCTTTTGAACTATTTAGAAATAGTGGTGGATAAAAACCTAATAAATTGAATTTATTAAATCAAGATTCACATATTAATAAACTACCACTCGAAAATATCTATTTGCTGTCCGGAGCAAGTTGGCATCTCTGAGTTAACCGTGAAGTTTACGATAAAGAACATATTTTACCTTTACGGTTTTGAAACTGTTTTAAACTATAAAAACTAAGAATACGAAACTATGCGGTTTTTCAACCATTTACGAACAGCATAGTTTGAAAACCGTAAAAAAAAAGAAATTTAACAGGAGTCTGGGGATTGCTTAGCAACTTTCTGGTGCTGCCATCCATGCGTGAATGAGAGTATCGTATTCTAAAAACACAAGGTCACAAATAAGATCACAACACAGGGACACGAACCCCCGTTCAGTACGTGAGGACATTGATAGATTAACTCTCTCGGCTATAATATGTTTCCAGCTGCAAGGGATTAAGTGGCTTCATAAGGTGGGGCGATACAATTCAAGATGTTTATAATATTATAAAATTATGAACACTTTAAAAATGAAAAACATGTGCGCCACTTACTCTGAAATGAAAATAAATTAAAAAAATGTGACACTCCAAGTCACAGATAAAATTTTAAAATTTTTCTGATTAAAAGCAACTAACCGTAAATTATTATTATTTCTACAAATGCAACTAAAAAGGGACATAATAATTTAGAAAAACTATAAAACATGAGAATAACTGATGTACAAAATAAATAACTGAAAATCTAAAAATAAAGCAACGTGGAATAAATTTATAAAATAAATATGTGGAATAATTCTTATGATCTGAATCTGAAGTTCTTCCCCGTGAAATGGTTATACATCAGAAAATATTAGTAGAATAGAAATTTTATAGAAGCTTCTTTGAACAAATACATTTTCCTTCGGGCAACAAAATCAATAATTTGAACATTTCAATAAAAATTTTATATTGCACACTTTTTAAAAAAAAAATTAGCACTCATATCATTAGTAATGCTTACTCTGATTTCCGCAAACACAACTAGGACATGGTCTGGCATTATAATCTATCTGACATCCTGATTCGCATTTAGGAGGAGAACACTGAATCGTTGGCATGTCTAGAACAAAACATATTATTTTTAAAAAGAAAATTAATAACATTAATAGAAAACTAATGATGTTTGATGATGCTGATAATGAGGATGTGTTTTGAAACATTTGAAAAGACCTTGCTAAGAAAATTTTGCAATCTTATTAAAATCACTTCAGAGAAATTTATCGGAAAATAAATAGATTATTGCAAATAATTTATTTTTATATATTATGTAATAAGGATGAAACATATGATTTTGCAACATTTCCCTATTTTGACGAGCCCGAGACACTGATGGAGAAGGAAATCAGCAATGAATGGCAAAGAACTTCTCGTAAAAAACTGCACTCAAGTTATATATATATATTCCAGTAAAAGTTGGAAAAAAATAATAAGAAAACAAAGAAAAGCACGGTGGTTAGCATAGTAATTATAAAAACAATCAGAATAATGACAATAGGGGCTTGAAAAAAAAAAGGCAATCTTGAGACAAAGTTACAAGAAATCAAAAATAATTTGAAAATAAAATCTGATACTGCCAGACCCAAATGTTTGACTATACGTGACATTGATCTACGCATTAGGCAATACAAAAGGCAAAAGAAATTAATGTAATAAAACAATAAATTTTTAATATTAATAGAACATTAATGAAAATTAAATTTTTGAAATAAGGTCGTAAGTTAGATATTATACGAAAACTAAGAAAAAGTAAAAAAAATTAAAAATATGCTTTTAAAATCACACGCAGAAAAATACGAAAAATGTTAAATGCATTTCATACTATTTTATTATCTGCATTTTTCAGTTTTTCTTTTAATAAATGAACCATACTATACAAAAACTATAAAAAGCAAATTTTTCATTTGTATGGTTAATATGCATAAAATCAATTGTGAACTATTTAAAACAGTACTTTTCTAACACGGAAAAAAGTCATGAGAGTTTAGCATATATATTACCATGGCATAAATCTTTTTTATTTGCATTTAGGGCTTGGATAAAAATTGATATTAATTAATGATCTATAACTTTGTGTCTGCATTATTATGCATTATTATTATGCATTATTATTATTAATTACTTAACATGCATTTTATAAATACTGGATTGACAAATATAGCTCATCAGTAACGTCATTAAACAAGTTTGAAAAAACGATTGACTTTTCAAAGGTAAACAAAGCAACATTTGGTCAAGTTTTACTCTGCTGTAGACAATATTATTAAAAAAAATATATCCATATAATGATAGTGCAAGATTTAAAGAATTGTTATGTTATTTTTTGTGCATTAGTAAAAAAGAAATTAAAGCAATTTTTTACCTATAAATACAAGTTACTTTATGAAGATGTTATGTAAAAATAAAAAGTTATTTTTAAGCAATATTTTTCTTTAAATTAAAGTTAATCTTAATGCAATTTAACTGAATAATTTATTAATTATTATATAGATAAAAGTTTTACTAAAATGATACTTTCAAACAAAATAATTTGAAACAGTCAAGCAATATAATCAAATAAAGTTCATATTGTTAAAATACCATTATCTTAAAAGTTTAGGGAATACGTTGTAATTATTTTTTTTAACAAAAAAATTGTCATTTTGTTTTTTGTAAAGCTCGTACATACATGGTATCTAGATTGCCCTTGTGGAAAATTTTTATTATCATTAAGATACAATTCAAAATGACTGAAAACAGATATTGTGAAATATTGAAAATTATGTTGGAAAATCACTAAAAATAGAGAACACCATACTTCAAAAAAAAAAAAAAAAGCACCAGCACTTTATATACAGGTGTATTGCTTGACAACAAACTAAATTTTGCCGATAAATTTCCATTCGATAAATACAGTCTACAAAACAGATATTGTGAAAATATTAAAAATAAATTCTGTAATCACACTAAAATTATTGTCTTTTGATGGATCCCTTCGTATGTGGGAATAGAAAATACTGACCGAATAAATGACCATTTAAACAACTCGACAATCTCCTAAAGGACATGCTTATGAGAAAATTATAGATAACCTCAAACACGACCAAGCAGCAAAGTCAATAGTTAATTCCAATATCCAAGACAGTTGGAAAGTGCGTGAGCCATAACTTTCCCGTTGGAAAGCTGTGGCAACTAAAATCAGACCATGACTGCTTGACAGAACATCTGAATAGAATAGGAATATTTCCATCAATTATTCGTTAAATCTGTAAAGTGGACATGATGAATTACGTGGTAAAGTTTAAATAGAGAGTCTCAGAGACTTGGTGAAGTTGAATATAAATTATATTGGACTACTAATACTTTTATGAACTGTTATTGATCCGCCTTTTTTTTTTTTTTTTTTTACTTTTTTTAAATTCTTTTCTTGTTTATGTTAAGTTATCTTGGTAGTTTGTTCATGTTTATTTTATGTGTGTTTGTTGTCATTTTTCTTTCTGCTGATCCTTGATTCTTTGTGAGACATTGGGCTGCCTGATCACTATGGATTAAAATACGTAAGGAATGTTGTTGTGTTAAATGTTGTCGTAAATTAATAGCTTTGGAGATTTCTCAGATAAAATCCAAAGTAAACTGTTAATGAAATTCCTAAACCTCGGTAATGTTCATGACATAGTAATGTAAAAATCATAAAATGATTTGTAAAAAGTTAGTATTTTTAATGTTATACAGAAATACTATAATAAGAAATACTATAATAAATTTCTAAAATTTATGTAAATGTTTTCTCTAGATTTGTTTTTCACTTTTTCCTCGTTATCAACCAAAAGCATTTTAAGAGAATTCTATATATTTGAGAAAATAAAAGAAAGTTTCTAATAAATTTTGTAAGATCAAGATAAATTGATGTTTGACTTGATACCCCCAAAACAATTTCAGCCTTCGGGACATCCAATAAGACGGTCCAAAAGTAAATCCATTGTGGCAAATAGTTCTCTGCCATGAAATTGTCGGATTCATAGCTTTGTAGTTACTTCGTGTTTGCCTAGTAATAGTTCCAGGCAAGTTCTTCATCGAAAAGTTCTCCTATTTCATTAAAAAAAACTTAGAAATACGTGGCTTTTATGTATAAACAGGGCGCTGGATGTAGTTTTACAAAAAAGTAGGTTAAAAGGAAAAGAGTTGTATTATTATTTGCTGTTACGTAGTTGTATTAATCCATCTACAATAGTCAACGAGAGCATTTGCTACTGAAGTAACAAAAGTTAGTATTGTCATAATTTCTTTTATTTATGTCTAGATCAGTGATTCTGAACCACTGTGCCGCGGCACTTTTGTGTGCCACCAAATTCTTAAAATGTGCCGCCAAATATTAGAAATGATACAATAAGAATTGTAATGCTTTTTTTTATTATAAGTAAAGTTTAAATTAAAGAAAAGTATGTGTATATATATATATATACATACTTCTTGCAATTTTTCCACGCTTTAACCGCGTAAACATCTTTATCGGCGATTGTATTGTCTCTGACAATCTTAAAATAAGATGAAAGTGTTTAAATTGTATATGACACACAATTTTAAAAAATGTTGTAAGAGCTAATCATTAAAGTAAGCTATGCAATTAATAAACAAATTAACAAAGGATAACTAAAAAAACAAATATATAAAAAACAAATTAACAAAGGATAACTAACAAAAATTAAGCTAACAATTAATAATTAGCAAAAAAACTAGTTAACAAGAAATCACAAAAAAATAACAGTTAATAATTATAGAAAACAAGCTAACAATTAATAACTAGCAAAAAAATAAATAACTGTTACTAACTAATAAAAAATTGGTCGAAAGAAATAATTAATCCCTTAATAAATGTGCTTTTGTAGTACATATTATTTTATTTCACATTCAAAATTATTATCACAAACTATTTAACACAGTGTAAAATAGGTAATTAAACAACTTTTAATCTAATTTTTTCATTGTGTGCCGTCAAATTTCGAAATCGTTAAAAGTGTGCCGCAACGAAAAAAAAGGTTGAGAATCACTGGTCTAGATATTAGGCTTTTTATTATTTCCTCTGCTGAAATATATTCCTATATTATTAAAGTAAAAATTTTAAACTTACTAAAATTCTTACTACTTCAATTGAAAATTTTCAGCTTATTATATTATGAGAATTTAAAAATTATCCATATTATGGAATTAATTAAAAATTGATTTCATTATTTAAATTATTAAAATTGTTTCTATTGTGTATTTAAAAATTATTTCTATAATGAACTATGTTTATTTAGAAATAACAAGATTTTAAATGTCAAGCACATTTTTGATAACAATTTTTGTTATCGAAAATGATTTGATTACTTGATTTGATCAATGATCATTTGATTTGAATGAGAGATTCGTCATAAAAGAATGGGCCATTTTATGCTGCTGAAATTTATGTGAGTGGGTGCACATTAGTATCAATAAATGTTCATCAAAAGTTTTTGAACAGAAAGCTGGTAAGTTTTTAAGATGTGTTGGAGATATTTTAGGATGTTTGGCATGGATGAGCATGAAATGTTACTTGAACCATAAATTTTACTTACGCGAAATTTCTGTTATGTTATACAAATAATGATAATTGTGGTTAGAATAGCCTGTTTCTTTTCCATCTTTTAAATAATATAAATTCATTTTTATTAAAATAACTACTATCAAGGGATTGGTGGGTATTTGTCCTTCTCAATAATTAGAAATCTCTAAAGGCTCCCATGAATATTTCAGACAAATAAAGAAATTTTTATGAATCATGAATTTAAATTCGAGTCATCTAGTCATTAATATCATCTAGTTAAAAAAAATACTTAATCTTTGTGCAGTTATTTGTTACGTTTATTTCTTTTTTATTATGCGTGAAATTTTAAAAACTACTGTGACTGTGTAATTTAATTTCATCCCCCTAAAAAATCTTGGCCATGGTTCATATATTATATAAAATATGTAATTTTCTGTTTCGAGGTATTTTACTTATTATTGCTACGCCAGTTTTTATTCTGTTTTAAAATGCACATTGGTAATGAAAGTCGAATTTCATAA